ACTTTTTAAAAATATAGTTCAAATTGGACTATCGGGTTTACAATAACATTTCTTTTGCCTTCATATCTTGAAACCTTTTCATGATATCTTCGTTATTAATGTTACTAAATATATCTTTTTTCAATGTAAGGCACAAACTATTATTCATATGCTCATCTTTTATTTGGTTTTGAGGAATTAAGGGTGAGAGAGAAAAGAGGAACCAATGACTAAGGGCAAAGCGAGGAAGTGAGTTGCTAGGTTTATCTCATGGTCGTAGTTTGCAACTCATGTATTTTGATATCAGTCCCCCAAATCTTTAATATTTTGACATTAGTTCCTCAAATATCTAATATTTCAAAATTTTAAATTAGTCCCCCAACTCCTGTAACTTTTTGAAATTAATCTCCCTAGTTAGCATTTGTTTGACTTGGGATAGAATAATCATTTAACTTATTGAGAGACTAATTTCAAATCACTTCCAAGATCTAGGGGACTAATTTCGAAACATGAAGATTTTGGGGACTGATTTTAAAATATGAAGATTTCGGGGACTACTTTGAAAACACCTAAACTACTTGGAAGACCAATTTCGAACTATGAAGATTTGGATAACTATTTTCAAACTTGAAAGAGTTGGGAGGCCTAATATAACAATGAGGAATGTGGAGGGTTAAGTCTGAGAACGTTGAGGTAACTTTTGCATTCTACTATCTATAAATTACTATTAACAAAATAGCCTTATATTTTTGTTACTGTTTTAAGGTGAGGCTAAGGCTCTCTTGGCCCCATGTGGCTCTGCCAAAGTCATGTAGCTCATCAAACTGCTATAGTTTCCAATAGACCAAAAGAATAATGAAAAGACCCTTTCCCCATGCGCTAACATTTCCATATGCTTTTCCTTTTCCATAATTTTTTATAACTAAAAAAGAATCCTGACAGCAAAACAACAATAATAAGAAAAGTGCACAGAAATTTTTGCAGCAAACCAAGTCAACATGTTACCTGAATCACCAAAGTGACATCAGGATAATGCACACCACGAGAAGACACGTCTGATGTTACAAGAATCAAACGCTTTGATTCCCGAAATTCATCAGATATACGAGCTCGATAAAGTTGAGGCTTTCTGGAATGCATTTCCCTAACATTCATCTTCAAATCTCGAAGTAGGACATACATAAACGCCGCACCCATAGCAGTTGTGCAGAACACAATAACCTGGTGGCAAAAATTGTTACATAATGGAGATTGGAAAGCCTAAAAGAATTTAGGAATTTATTTTCAGTTAGGACCCTATAGTCACTTTTAAATGGAACTTGAGGGGCTTCTTAGATTGTAGACTTCTAACTGAAGTTGTAAATGCAATTGGATATTTTCTTTGAATTTGGAATTCATTCTCAAATTGCTGAGAGTACAAAGTTCAGTGATGATGACCTGAAAAAACATAAGGTACTTCCAAAGACGTCCAACCAAATTACAAGTACTGGTATTCAACAAAATTAAATCAAGCATCTCTGTTACAAATAGTATTTGGTTGCTATTCCATCATTTTCATCTTCGTCAAACCTAAAAATATCTGAAATTTAAATTGAAGCAGCAAAATAGGTACTAGTCTCTAAAAGTAGTGCATTTACCTTGTAATCAAGCTCTTTCATGATATGTTCCTTTAGAAGCTGATGAACCAAATGATAGTGGTGCTCCTGTGGCGCAACAATAAATGATTGCATAGCCTGCATTTAAAAGGTGAGTTGCACATCAATGAGGGATGATTCAAACCCTAAATTATCATAGCAAAATATGTTTCATTTGCTGATGAGATCTTTTCCTAAGATTAAAAATAAATTAAAAGCTAAATATTATAGTTAAACAAACAAAAATATTACAAGCATCAGATCTTCATAATCGGCAATATCATATTACTTGTATTTGACGATGTACAGAAATCTCAGATTACAAGCAACACCTTTTTAGTGTTTATATCAGGTATAAATCATATTAGAATTAGTTTAAGACTCAAAGTAAACAAGTTTCTGATGAATCATCCGGCAATATCATTTACGAGTTGATTCTTTTTGCATCAAAATGGAGTTGGCTTTCTAGTGAGCTCCATGTAGGTTGCAAGGAAATTTGGATAAAATTTTATGAATCCTATCAACTAAAGCACTACTCTCCTAGTTAGTTTCTTAATTCTAAAGTCCTAGAACGGAATATGAATAAGGGAGGAACCTGCTATAACCTACAGACCAGTTGATAGGTAGGAAAACTTAACCGTATTGTTTAGTAGATTAACTATTTTAAAGTATATAATTGCAAAATTATAATTTTGCAATTATAAACGAGCATTTTTCTTTTAAATTCACTATTATAGTTTGTAAGTGTCTAAATCTGTGCTAAGGTCTATAATGTGATCTTGCTATCTAGACAAGGGGCTAAAGTGATGTTAACACCAAGTCATGCCATGGATCCTCACAACTGGATTTGAACTGACTTGGCAAAATGCCAGGCAGAAGAGAGAGTGCTCTGAGTAGAGGCTGTGAGGTTTCTTTGAAGAGAATGCAACTGCAAGAGGCTAGCTTAGAATTGTGCACCCATCTTGTCTATTTAACATGTGCCGAACATAATGGATAATTCCATATAACAGAAGGACAAGATTAACCACTCAAAAGGACTCACCACCAAGCTATAGACATGATTTCCTTGAAGATTTTATCTTAGCTTATACAAATAACATAGGTCTTAAGATGATTATCTGAAAGATTTCAATCTAAAGCTTTTCCCCCTCATTCTTGTAGGATTTTTTCAATAAATAAAATGCATTAAAAATATGATGATTTACTATGCCGTGAAGGTGTAGTTGTATCGATTTAATACCTTGGCAGGAGTTTCAACGTTTCCCAGGCCCACAGTATCCACAAAGACATGCTCTTTTTTCAAGACAACCTGAGAAATCCTCCGAACCTGAAATTTTTTAACATTATTTAAATTGCATAGGATTGTAAAATTAGATTGCTTAAATAATGTAAAAGGAATGGCATACCCTAGCCCAAGCACTGCAGGTGTGAAAGAGATCAATTTCAGTACCTCTTTAGGAATTGTTGCAGAAAATAATAACGACTGTCTCTGGCGAGGGATGCAGTCAACAATTTTCTCTATGTCTTTTCTAAATCCTAAGTCCAGCAAGTGATCAGCTTCGTCAAGTATAAGCATTTTCAAACCCATTAAACGTCCAGAGAATCCAGATTTGTTCTCAATGTGATCCAATAGCCTGCCAGGGGTTGCAACTATTATCTGCGAGTAAATTGATGAACAAACATAACAAAAATCATGAATTTTAACAAAGTATAATAATCAAATTTAGATGGCTGGACTTGCAGAAAACTAAAGAGGACGTGAAAACATCATAGATTGACTGAATGAAGCCAATCCAGAAGAATTTTCAAAACGTTGCATTACGAAAAGAAAAAACATTTCTGAGTGCTCACAATTAATTTTAGGAACTAAAGTAAGCTATGTAGATGCAAACCTGGCAAGGATTAGATTCTAAACGCTTCTGATCAAGCTTGAACCTTGTACCTCCAATCAAAGTTTGAACGCCTATGCCATCATGGTACCTTAACAAAACATTAGCCTCTGCAGCTACTTGAATGGCTAGCTCCCTTGTAGGACAGACAATTAGCGCAAGTATTGGAGGCACCCGATAATTTGATTTGCTGCTTGTCACCTTGAGAACTGCTTGAATTGCAGGAAGCTGTTTATCTTAATAGGACTTAGAAAGTGAGAACGTGCTTCTTGGCATGACAAGATAATAAAATAGAGATGAGATGATGTACCAAAAAAGCCGCAGTTTTCCCAGTGCCAGTTCTTGCTTTAACCAGAACATCCTTACCTGTAATCAGAAATTCGAAGTATATGTAACACTATGAGTATAAACACACAGCTCACTCGTGTGCCAGAAAATAGCCATCTTAATACAGTCTCTCTACAGTCATATCTAGGAGATGGATAACCTATAATATCAATACATAATAATATAATATGCTTCAGATTTTCACATGTGTGTAATAAAAAGTAGTCTGGATTTCTAGTATGGGATTATACTGTATATACCAAGAAAAGGAGACGGTGGAGTCAGATCACCTTGAAATAAACAAGTGACAAGCTTTCCCGCAAATTAAAATGTGCATGGTGTATAGTTCACACAAAATATTGAATAACTTCCTAAGGTTATAGCTTATTTGTGTCAGAAAGACTTGGAATTTAAATAATTAAGCAACATACCCTCAAGACAAACGGGAAGTGCAGCGTCTTGGACAACAGTCATTTGAACATATCCAGCAGAATTCAATGCTTTAATTGTTAAGGGAGAGATGTTGCATTCATCAAATCTTAAGTATCAAAGCGAAAAAAGTTAGTCAATAATATACACACAGCATACAAGAGAAAATACTATCATATACATTAACAAGATTGACTGGAAAATATACCTCTTTTGAGTAATTACAGACTCTTCCGTAGCCTTTGCTCCACTCCCAAAAGACTCTCTCTTCTTAATATCTTTACGAATTCCTCGAATTTGTTCCAGTAAGTCACTCTCCTCACAATCATTATCACCCTTCAGCTTTCTCCTCTCCTTTTTTGCATCGAAATTCCTCAATGCTGCCCAACTCATCTTCTTCTTCGTCCTACCATCAAATCCTCTATCCTCTTCCTCTTCCTCATCCTCATCTTTCCTAATTCCAAACTTAGAAATCTTCAACCCCTCAAGCTCCTCATCCTCATCATCACTTGACAAATTCCTCATCCTCCGTGGAGAATTCTCCCTCTGCTGAAAAGATCCCAACTTTCCAAATGAACCCTTCCCATCCTTCACAAACTTCTCCAAACCCTCAGCCCCCTCCTTCGTACTCCCAAATCTCGAAAACTTGGACTCTTTCCTAATCAAACCCCCACCATCAAGCTCCTCATCCTCGTCTTCACTCGACAGATTCCTCATCATCCTCCTCGTTGAATACTCTCGCCTCTGCTGAAACGATCCCAACTTCTTCACCTCCACCGCTTCCTTCTCCAACCTCGCCCTCTTCTCGTAAATCGGTCCATCATCCTCGTTCCACAAATCCTCAGCTCCCTCCTTCATGAACCGATCGGCTAGGGCTTTGATATGTTCCTTCAAGAATAGCAGTATATGCAGAGGGATCCGACGCGCAAGACTGGCCGTCCGCCGCTGCACGATTATTGGCTCGAATCTCCGAGCGGAGGCAGCTTTGATAGAGGCTGCTTTTCTTGATGGAGGAGCTTGCGTCTTTCTCCTTTGCCAGCTTTTCGTGATTCGTTTGTACTGCATTTGTTGAGGCGCGAGGAAATTTCGCGCGGGCGCCCCATGATCGGAGGGCGGTGGTAGGGCAGGCGGGGTAGGGTTCGGGCCGGCGGCGGATGAGCGCGAGGCAGAGGAGGTGAAGAGGGGCAGTGGTTTGTGGGGGGTTAGGGTTTAGGGTTTAAGGGGATTTGGGGCTTTTTTTTGATTGAGAGGGCAAGGGTGGAGGGGAATGGGTCGGGTTGGGATTGGCAAGACTCTTTGTATCATTTTCGAGCTCTTCACTCTAATTGGCGGTGTTTTTAAAGCTTTTTTTCCCTTAGTAATAATTTTTCAAAATCGACCCATTTAGTTTTTTATTTTTCAAAATCGACCGTTTTTTCTTTTATTTATCAAAACCGACCGGATTTTGTGATTAGCAGGTTAATCACTATCCTAAATAGTCGGGGTTGCCAACCCCGACTATTTAGGAGGGTGTTAAACCCTAATTAAGGCTTCTAATTAGGGTTTAACACCCTCCTAAATAGTCGGGGTTGGCAACCCCGACTATTTAGGATAGTGATTAATCTGCTAATCACAAAATCCGGTCGGTTTTGATAAATAAAAGAAAAAACGGTCGATTTTGAAAAATAAAAAACTAAATGGGTCGATTTTGAAAAATTGTTCTTTTTCCCTAATGAACGGTACTACTATTGTTTGTATATAATTACAATCTTGATTTACAGTAGTGTACTTAAAAATATATTATTATTTTTTATTTATGAAAAATAGATTACTTTTTACAGTAACTAAAAGTAAAAGCAATCTTTTTTCATGAATAATTCATAATCTTGCTCCCTTGGCAAGTGTGAGTCCAATAAATCTTTTTATTGCCAACTAGTATCGTGCGCGTGCTTTGCACGTGTGTCCATTTTCATGTTTATATGTAGGCTATAAGTGCGCATTGCAATGATAATTTTATGTATCTAATGTGTAGTTTTATTACATAATAGTATTTCAAATTAGTTTGATTTGCATTACCACTTTATTAGATATCAAATCAGTTTTTCCAATCATAAAGTTTATACATTTTATTTAGGGTAAATTTTACAGATGCCTCAGGATAAAGCCCTCGAATTTTTAAAATGTCACAAAACTCTTTAAGTTTTAAGGTTCTCAGAAAACCTCATTCAAACTCTAAAAGTGTGAAACACAATTTTTATTGGCAAAAATATCAACCTGCATAATTTTACTCATATGTGAAAAAGTACAAAGTAAGGATTATTGGCATTAAGAATGGTTTTTGAAAATTGTTGAAAGTTTAAGGGGATTGAGATCGCCAAAGATCTTTTTTTTTTTTTTGGGGGGGGGGGGGGGGGGGGTATGGCCTAATTCTTCGCCTCCCATGGCCATGTCATTCATTAGCCTTTTGAGATGATACTTTAAGGTTTTGAATTTTATTATTAATTCATTATTCGCATAATTTTACTAAACTAATAGACAATTTAGTAATCAAAGTATTATTGACTTGCTATTGTGCCAAAAAACTTATGATGTGACTAGATATATGTGAAAAAACAGTCTTATATCTCTCCTCTCATTACCTAGTTATGGATCTAGATCGACATTCGCAATAGTTTAATGGATTGCAGTAAATAACATTGACATAGAAGAGATTTTTTTTTGGAAAAATGGCCAGATTGGTATATTTTATAGAGGCTTGGTGACATGTTGATATATTTTCTTTTAGTTTTGTCAGATTGGTATATTTTTTCAACTCTGACGCCATATAGGCCTTAAATTTGACCGGAGTTACTGTTCCGGGCAGTGCTGATGGGATTTTTTACATAAAAACCCTCATCAAAACTCATCCTACTCCTAAGCCCCCACCCCTCTCCCTCCTCCTCCTCATCCTCTTCCTCCTCCTCCTCTCCCTCCTCCTCCTCTCCCTCCTCCTCCCCACCATGACATGATCAAGTTTTTATACTAAAATATACAGAGGGCAGATTCTGGGTTCCCTCCTTCACATCAGCTTTCAATATCGAGCTAATCTTCGAGCCTGATGGGGGAGCTCTCCCCCGTGCCCTCCACTCAACCCCAAAAATTGAGTTCGACCCCTTTCTCAAAAACCCTAAAACCGGCGTCCCTCCCGCAACTCAATCCTCCTCGATCCGAACCTCAATTCTCAAACCTCGCCCAAAATCCCATCAAATCCTTGATCAATTCAGCCATAATCCCATCGGAATCCGCTGTACCGGAGGCCACGACCCCGAATCACCGCCGAAGGTTTCTCCAATGGGAACACTCGAAAAGGAAAGTGGTAGTGAAATCATGGCTCCTGGGGGCGGGGGGGGGTCCCGCAACTCAATCCTCCTCGATCCGAACCTCAATTCTCAAACCTCGCCCGAAATCCTATCTAATCCTCGATCAGTTCGGCCATAATCCCACCAGAATCCGCTGTACTGGAGGCCACGACCCCGAATCACCGTCGAAGGTTTCTCCAATGGGAACACCCGAAAAGGAAAGTGGCGGTGAAATCATGGCTCCTGGGGGCGAGGGGGGAGAGACTTCGTCGGACTTGCTGAAGAACACGCCCTCGAATATCGCGAGGTTGGAGGATGAGATCGAGCATTACAAGGGTCGGCGGAAGTATCTCGCGGCGCTGGTACTTCTGTAAGGTGCCTCTGGCGGAGAAATGTGAGTTCAGCTGGTTTGTGTCTGGGTTTTTCCTTTCATCTTTGCCTGCATATATTGAAATCCTAGTAAAAATGTCTAGTAGGTGGTATGAGCAGTTGCCATGAATTCTAAAGAATGTCCATTTTCCTGATCTTGATAAACTCCATGTTGAGAAGAAAGAGGATGAGGAGGAGGAGGGAATTGAAGTCAAAATCCTATGTCTTGAGCTAAAAATTCCAGACACATATATGAATTGATTTCTAGCTGATTGTGATGAAACAAATCAGTCTCCAAGAGGGTAATAAATACGTGCTTCTAGTTGCTTCAATTATCATGTCAAGGTGGGGAGGAGGAGGGAGAGGGGGAGGTTGAAGAGGAGGAGGAGGAGGAAGAGGAGGAGGAGGAGGAAGAGGATGAGGAGGAGGAGGGAGAGGGAGAGGTTGAAGAGGATGAGGAGGAGGAGGGAGAGGATGAGGAGGAGAAGGGGGGTCAGGAGCAGGATGGGTTTTTGATGAGGGGTTTTATGCAAAAAATCCTATCAGCACTGGCCGAAACAGTAACTCCGGCCAAATTTAAGGCCTATATGGTGTCGGAGTTAAAAAAATATATCAATCTGACAAAACTAAAAGAAAATATACCAACATATCACCAAGCCTCTACAAAATATACCAATCTGGTCATTTTGCCGATTTTTTTATAATAAACCAAATAACTCAAGTTCAAAAAAAATTTACTTAGCAAATAACTTATTCTAATTTGTTTTTGAAATGCTAGTTTATTGACTCGAGATTTATAATTAATTAGTTTTTAACATAATTTTACCGAACGAATAGCTACTTTTAGGTTCATAAATTTCAATAAAATGTTATGATATAAGAACTAAGAAGCTAAAATAGATCGCCAATGCAAGAGATCAAATCATTCTTCATCAATCAAATCAACATTCAGTTACAAAGATTAAACAACAAATCAAATTCTTCTAATTAATATTTAAAAAAGTTAAAAAGATGAATAGATTTGCAACCTTGTAAATTTATCAATATACTCTTTATTTTTTATTTTCCTTTTCATCATTCAAATTTATTCCACCAACTTTTTCAGTGAATCTGATATGAATATGTTGTTATAATATATTAAATTGACTTAGTTATTACTTAAATTATTAAATTAATTATAATTAATTTACTAATATAGAATAATTTTAGCATCACTACATAATTAAGATAGAAGTTTCCTTTTGCTCCTTTAATTCAATGCATGTAATCATGTAAAGAATCATTAAAAACCTCATAGTTAACAAAATGCCGCACGATTATGGTTTGAGAACAAAGTAGAATGCGAATATGTATAGAAACTTTAATTATTATTTATTAAATGAATCACTTATTTTTACATCATCTCAAAAAAAAGGGCAAAAAATAATTGAACACCTTAGATTTTAGTCTGTAGCAATGTTGATCAAGAAAAGAACATGAAAATTATAAAGATCGTAGAGAAAGTAAGCTCGAAAATGCCAAAGTCGCAAGCAACAAAAGAGAGCTAGATTTGGCTCTTTTCTTCTTAATCTAATTTTTAATTGCGAAGTGGAATGTTGATTGGAGAATTTTGATAATTTTTTTTTTATTTATAGTGATTTGGTAGGAGAGAATAGTTATAACATTTTTTGTCATTAGTGCACATAAAGTTATGTTAGTGTACCATGAGTTAGTGGAGAAGTGTTATGAGTGGGTGATTAATTAAAAATTTGATGGCAATAAATTGGGAGGTTCTGAAAAATTAAACATGTATGCCATCATGTATGTATGCATGGATGTGCAAGCATTGGGGAGGTTATAAAAAATGGAGCATGTATGTATGAATGGATGTATTGGAGGGCATTTTAGGTAGAAATGTTTTAACATAGCAACCCACTTTTATAATAGTATTGATGATTAGATTAGATATCAGACACTTTTGGATATACATCCTCATCCAATCCTAATTAGTAGAAACAATAAATATTTGTAATAGGATACTGTAGTATAGTAAAGGAGAGGTTTTTGAAACAGTCATTTTCATAAAATTATTCGCCAAAATCGACCTAGTTGAGAAATATTTATCAAAATTGACTTAGTTTTAGCCATGTCAGTGACTCGCACTAAAACTAAGTCGATATTGAAAAAAAAATTTACAATCTTTCACGAGATTGGCAATCCAGTATAGATTAATGACCTACTCTAATTCCATAAGGTTGTCAGTCTTGTAAGCCCATAAGATTAAGAATACATTGGACTTTAGTTTCTACAAAATTGTGTACACTGAGCCCAATTAAGCAATTTTGTGGCAACTAAAGTCCAAGGGATTCCCCAATCTGGTGGACCATAAAACAC